TTTACAGGGAGTTTCGCTCTTGTTACCCAGGCTGGAGTGCAATGGCATGATCTCAGCTCACTGCAACCTCCGCCTCGCAGGTTCAAGCAATTCTCCTGCCTCTGCCTCCTGAGTATCTGGGATTACAGGCACGCACCACCATGCCCAGCTAATTTTTTGTATTTTTAGTAGAAACAGAGTTTCACCATGTTAGCCAGGCTGGTCTCAAATTCCTGACCTCACGTGATCCACCCGCCTTGGCTTCCCAAAGTGCTGGGATTACAGGCGTGAGCACTGAGCCCAGCCCTATTCTCTTATTTCATTTATTTTTCAGAGACAGAGTCTTGCTCTGTTGCCCAGGGCTGGAATAGAGTGGTGCAATCATAGGTCACTGCAGCCTCCAAATCCTGGGCTCAAACAATCCTTCCTCAGCCTCCTGAGTAGATGGAATCACAGGTGTGTGCCATCATGGCCGGCTAATTTTAAAAATTTTTTGTAGAGATGTTGGGGGGCTTCTCATTTTGTTGCTCAGGCTCATCTTAACCTCCCATCCTCAAGCAATCCTCCCACCTGCCACTGCGCAGGCAGAGGGCACAGTGTGTGCAAAGGCTCAGGGGTATGAAAGCACAACGCATAGCTAGGGGACCATGAAATGCTGTCTGTCTGTCACTGGGGAAGGGTGATGCTGGAGAGGTCTGCTGGGGCCAGATGGGGAAGGCTTCGAATGCGAGGCTAGTGGCTTTGACTTCGTCTTAAGGGTAGTGGGTAGTTGAGGAAAGATTCTGAGCACAGCAGGGGCGGGGTTAGCTCTCTGGAGTCATGGAGGATGAGCCACAAGCTGGAGGCAGGGAGGTCAGAGAAGAGGCTGGGGTGGTGGTAGAGGCTCGAGGGGAAGAGGGACTACTGGGTGGAAGGAGGAAAGAGACTGGCTGGGCATGGTGGCTTGTGCCTATAATTCCATCACTCTGGGAGGCCGAGGTGGGAGGATTGCTTCAGGTTAGGAGTTCGAGACCAGCCTGGGCAACATAGCAAAATCTCATCTCTACAAAAAGAAAAATAAATAGGCAGGTGTGGTGGCACATGCCTGTGGTCCCAGCTACTTGGGAGGCTGAGGTGCGAGGATTGCTTGAGCCCAAGACATCCAGCAGTGCACCAGGGCTGGGTCACTGCACTCCAGCCTGGGTAACAGAGTGGAGACCCTGTCTCTAAAAAAGAGAGGAAGAAGAAGTAGTGAAAGAATAAGAGGAGGAGGAAGACGAGGAGGAGGAGGAAGAGGAATAGCAGGAGGAAGAGCAGGAGAAAGAAGAGGAGGAGGAGGAGGGAGAAGGGGGAGAGAAAAGAGGAGGAGGGAGTAGGGGGGAGAAGGGAAGGAGGAGGAGAAATGTTGACTGCTGTCTCAATCTCCTCCCTCCATCTCTGCCTTTCTCGTACCCTATTCTGGGGGTAAAGGGAATATTTAGAAAGATGTATGACTGGAGACCCCCACCCTGTAGGATCTCACCTTGGTTTGGGGCGCTCCTCTTCTGTTGGTGGTGAGGGATACAAAGAGATAATTAGTGAGAGTTTAGAGGGGAGGGGCTAGGCCTGACACACCCTGGGGAGGGACCCCCAAGCCTCGGCCCCCAGGAGCCCAAGGCAGGACTCTGGAGTCTAGTTCTGGAGGAGGGGCATGGGGAGAAGAAAAGAGGGAAAGAAAGCCAGGGTGGCTGTGAAGGAGGAAGAGGGTCACACGCATCAGATATACATTCAGAACTGGTGTGGGGACTCCCCCACCCCTGCTGTCTGCACACCCAGGAGTGCAAACTCCCAGACCCTTCTCTATTTATATGGCCAGAGCCCCTGCCCTCCTCCATTCGAACCAAGAGGTGCAGCGGGGCCCAACCTCTCCTTTCATTCAGTGACCCCAGAGCTCTCTACCCAGCTCGAGTCCCTCTCCCAGGCTCCCCAACTCCCACCCCCGCATCTTGGGGAGCCTGATTCCCAGCGCTAGCCTCCTCTGCAACCCTAAATTCCAAGCCCCAACCTTTGAATGTATATGGGAGAGAAAATGACAGGGTCGGAGGCGAAGATGAGGGGGGACGGGGTGGTGTCTCTCCGCAAACATCCAACCCTTCTATAAAGATTCACCCAGACTGGGGAAGAAGGCTTGGGTGTCGGTCCCTTTAAGAAGGAAGGGAAAGGGTTAAAGCCACTGCGGGGCCATTTCCCTTCCCGGCCCCGAGAGGGCGCAGGGGCTCTCAGGGGCTTAAAGGACCGGCCTGGGGGCGGGGCGGGAAGGGCCGGGGGTCGGGGCCCGAGGATATCGGGGTTCCCCCGGGCCCCCGACATCGGCCTCGGGAAGCGAAGCAGCCGCGGTTACCTGGCTCTGCCGCTGGCTCCGGCTCCTCGGGGGCTGGGGAGGGGCGGGAAGAGCAGCGAGGGTTTGGGGAGCGAGCGGGGAGCAGCCACGCCCGGGCGCGGGGAGAGAGGGAGACACGGGAGAGGCGGTTAGAGGGCCGGGAGCCGAGGCGGGCGGGAGCCCCGTCCCGCCCCCTCCGCCCGCGCCCCCCCCCCAGACCTGCGGGGTCCGGGACCTCACCTTCCTCCTCCTCCTCCGCCGCCGCCTCCTCTGGAGATGGGGCACAGAAGAGAGGGCGTTAGGAGCTCGGGGAGGGATGCGAAGCAGCCAGAGACCGGGGCTCCCGTCCCAGCTGGACCTGGGGTCCCCCTGGCCTCGGCCGCGACGGGCACATTCCCCCTGGCGGTGCGGGGAGACCCTCCAGACCCGAGGGGACGGGCGAGCACCCCAGAGCTGAGTCGCCCCCTTCCGGCCACGGGGCCGCAGCCTCGCCTCCAGTCCCAAGAGCTCCTGTGGGGGTCCCCATCCCAGGGCCGGCCCACTCCCCACTCACCTTCCGGCTGCTCCCTGCGGACGGGTGTGGGGAGAGAGGAGGGAGGGAGAGTTAGACCTGCGCTGGGACAGCCCCTCCAGCACTGCACGCCCTCAACCGCGCCCAGCGCCCCACTCACTCCTCATATTCCTGCTCCTCGGTGTCCGACATCCTGCTGCGACCTAAGAGAGAAGAGCCCAGTGGGGTGGGGGCCCAGGGAGGGGGCGTCCTGGACTCCTGGGTCTGAGGGAGGAGGGGCT